TCTCCTTTGATGATATGTGGAGAAATTAGGAAACTATATCTAGAAGTTCTACCATAAGGGACAAAACCAATTGTTTCTTGGAAACCCCTGGAAGAAGGTTTTATCAAACTGAAATTTGATGGCAACAGTCTAGGGAACCCAGGCCCGACTGGCATAGGGGGAGTGTTTAGAAATTTTGAAGATCATGTTGTTTCTTTATTCTCAGGTCCAATTGGAGTACGGGATTCAGTCTTTGTGGAGTTCCAAGCTGCATTGCAAGGAGTACAGATTGCTCGATAATTAAATTATGACAGACTGTTAATTGAAGGTGACTCTAAACTGATAATAGGGTGGTTGAAGGAACCAAAAACAGTAATTTGGAAATACAAGGAATATATGAAAATATTCAAATGGCTGGTTAGAGACATGACAACATATATACAATGGGAAAGGTGATCAGCCAATGGGATGGCTATTTACTGTGCAAAATGGGGGGGTGCATAAGTCTGAACTATTTTGGGCTCAGGTGTAATTCTGTTTCTGGTTGGAGCTACATCTCGCACCTCTGTTGGATGCTTATTGTAATACTTTGACGTAACCCTTTCTCTTTTTAATAAATTTTTTATCATTTATCAAAAAAAAATCAGCACCACAACAATTTTTCCTAGAATAAATTTGGTCTTTCAACTCCCTACTTTGCTAAAACATCTGCCATTTCATTTGCTGTTCTCCTTATCACCTAATAGAACAGATGATCCTTCTTGCTAGGGAGTCTATTTCCCTGAAAGCATATCTATAGAGCCAAGGAACAGAATTGACTTGCTGAGTCCATGAGATTATTAGTTATGACTCACCTTCTACTTCCAATTCTGTGATACCCAGTTGTTTTGCAAAATCTTAAGCCTTGTAATAGGCCCCAAATTTCAGCCTTTACTGAATTCCCAACACCAACTGGACATGAATACAAAGCCACCACTTCAGCTTGGTGATTTTTAAAGACTCCTATTCCTGCCCTTCCTGGATTCCCCATTGAGCTGCCGTCGAAATTAAGCTATAGTCTATTTTTGGCTGAAGGTTCCCAGTCCATTCTCAATCTTTCCTTGAGTCTACCCGTTTGTGCCACTTCATCCCATGCTCTTAGAATGGTATTAGTTGAATACTCCCTGAAGAGTTCCAAAGTTCTTACCCATTGTGCAGTTCTAACTGTTTTTGCCTCAGTCAGCTCTTCTTTGGTTCTGTTTTTTCACTAAAGATCCTTTGGTTTCTTTCCTCCCATATAGTCCACACTACAGCTGCTTTTGTTGTCCTCCGAAAAATCCTTCCCCTTTTTTCTATTGCCTCAAGAAGTCAGGATTGAATTGGCCTACCACGTCTTATGGGGGGTCCCATCTGCAACCAAAAAGAGAACAGACAAAGTTCCAAATACCAGTCACAAAATCACAGGAGATTAACAAGTGAGGGAGAGACTCACCACTAGCTTTGCAAAAGACACACACACGAGGAGAAAGGCACATATTAGGCTTTTTTCTTTGTGGCCTGTCACAAGTGTCAATCTTTCCAAGGAACAGCGAAACACTTCCCAATACTAACCTTGAACTTTTGGAGGGATAGGTTTATACCAAATCTCTTGCACTGGGAAATTCACCCTCACTCCGAGTGTACAAGTAGGTTAAAAAGGAGGCACACAAGAACAATCCCTCAGTGGAAGGAGACTAAACTCTTGCATCAAAAACACTTTGGGTCCAAAAAAAACATTTTCCAGTTTAACCCTAAGGTAGTGATTACACAAAATTTAGCAACATGTTCCAATTTGTAATTTGAAAGGGAATAGAAATTAGGGAATTGTAACTTAAGTGGCAGCTCATCAACCCAAAGATCTTCCCAAAACAAAACTTTATTTCCATTACCCACATCAAAATGAATGAAATTTAAAAAGGAAAGTAGTACCTCAAAGATCTTTCCAAGGGGAGCTCAATGAAGTGTGAGTCACCAATTTTGCATCCCAGCCATTTTCCGCTACTCCATGAATGCTTGTAAGGACCCTCTGCCAAAGTCTATCACTCTCTAGAGGAAACCTCCAAAGCCACTTTCCTAGTAAAGTTGTATTTCTCTTTACCAAATTCCCTATGCCCAGTCCCCCTTGATCCTTGGGTCAACAAACCTGTTCCCATTTACCAATGATCCTTTTTCTCATCTCCCAGTTCCCACAAAAAGTCTCTCATAATCTTTTCTAGTTGCCTTTCCACCTTCACTAGAATCTTAAAAGTGGATAGGAAATAGATAGGTAAGTTGGCTAAAGTGGATTTAACGAAAGTTATTCTACCCCCTCAAAGAAATGTAATTTCTCTTCCACATGGCTAACTTTTTTGTAAATCGTTCCACAAAAGGTTTTCAGAAACCTTTTGTTTTCAGATTACCCCCCAAAGGCATTCCAAGATATTCTAGGGGTAAGACTTTGAATTCACATCCAAGAATCTCTGCCACTACCTGAATGTCATCTCCTCCCATATTGACTCCTGCCACACAACTTTTCACCCAGTTCACTCTCAATCCCGATATCCTTCAGAAAACCTCCACCAACTCCTTCAGATTCCTCATTCTGGATATATCACCTTCCTCACAAAGAATGATTATGTCATCAGCAAATTGTCAATGAGTTACTGTCACCTCATCCCTTAATCTCCAACCTCTAAACATTGAGTCAGCTCTGATAGTTAGTCTACTAAGCACTTCAGCCATGAAGGTGAAAAGAAAGGGGGAATGGGGTCACCTTGCCTCAAGCCTCTCTTGGTAAGGAAGAAATCTCTAGCAACTCCACTTACTAGAATCGAGAAGTAGACTGAACGCATACACCCATTTATCCATTTCCTCCATTTTTCTCCCAATCCAATCTTTCCCGGCAAGCCTATTAGGAAAGACCAATTCACGATATCATAGACCTTTTCCAAATCTAATTTACAGATTAAACCTTTCCCTCCATACTTCTTTTTCTATGCCACACACTCATTTTCCACAAGAATTTGGTCCATTATTTGTCTCCCTTCTACAAAGGCTCCTTGATTTTACGATGTTATAAAGGGTAAAATAGTTTTTAATCCAACCACCAAGACCTTGGCTATCACTTTGTAGAGGCTACCCACTAGGCTAATGGGTCTATAATCTTTTGGGATTTTGGGCTCTTTCTTTGTAGGCAAAATTTATTGCATGAAAGGTAAACAGCTGATGCCTTAGATCATTTGTAGTACAAGGACAACTTCATTGTTCTCAAGGTTTTAAATATTGACACACCCAATACACACGAACTTTGTGTATAGGGTGTTTCTAAGGCATGCAAGACTTTTTTTTGGTTTTGTTTTTTTTCTTCAAAACTAATAAAATTATGATAATATTTATAGAATGTCATGGGAAGAAGACAAAAACCATAAACAAAACCAAACATGTCCCATTAACAGGAAAACTGGAAAACCAAAAGAAATTTTCCAATGTTGTCAAGGTGTAGCCTATGCAACTAAGTGCCCTTGGTTGGGCACCTAACCTAAATGCCTTGACTTGTGGAAACAAGGCACTCGCCTAGGCAACAAAAACCACAAGGTGCACACCATTCTACTATTTCTATAATATCATGTAAGATTTGTTTTAAAGTTTTACTGTTGAAATTTAAAAGATTCAAGGGTTTTGAGAAGAAATAAAAGAAAGAAAGAAGAGAAGGATAAAGAGGTTACTTTTTCTTTTTTTTATTCTCTTTCTTTCTCTCTTATATTAAATAAAGCAACCTATTTTCTTTTTTTCTTTTATTTACTCTGTTAAATTTTTACATATAAAATTATAGCCCCCTCTAATTGTTAATTTGATATGAAATTGCTCTATTAGTATTATTTTTTATAAATGATTATATTAGTATTATTTTTGAAAATATTGAAATTAATATTATTTAAAATACTATTGTCTTTTACACATATTTGTTAAGGCATTGCATAGACAACTAGGTGCCCTTGGTTGGGCACATCACCTGAACACCTTGACTCATAACAACAATGCACCCATCTAAGAGATTAGTTACCTGCCCAGGGGACAAAAGTCACAAGGCAGGCGCCTTATTACAATGTTATTACTAAGGCTGCACCTTACTAATATGTGTATTAATACATTTATATATACTATATGTATTATTTATGCTTTGTTTTAAAGTTTTTTTTTATCAGTAAATATGTATTTTATTAAAATTCAGATTGTAAGCAGTTTATCCAACTTGGTGATGGGACTGTTGATCCCCTTTACTCAACTCTATTCACCCCCTCATTACAGTGTATCCCAAAACAATTGCTGTCTCAATATACAACTTTGTTTTAAAGTTTTACTATTGAAATTTAAAAGATCCAAGGGCTTTGAGAAGAGAAAAGGAAAGAAAGAAGAAAGGATAAAGAGTTTTCTTTTTCTTTTCTGTCTCTTACATTAAATTAAACGGCAGATCCACCCTTTTTCTTTTCCTCTTTGAATTGATCTCTATCTTAAATTTTTACCATATAAAATTATAGCCTTTTTTTAGTTGCTAGTTTTATGAAAATATTGAAATTAATATGTTTAAAATGTTATTGTCTTTTAGACATGATGATTTTCCATGTTTTGAGAGAAAATTTAATGTTCTAATAAAAGGAATTTCTATTTTTTTTCAATTAACATGCAAGTTGAATGGTATATAAAACTAGGGAATTGACCAAAATCAAGATTTTTATTTTTATAAAATTCTTATTGTTAACCAAATTTTAGTTTTATATTTTATAAAATTCTTATCGCCTAAGCGACTAGGTGCCCTACTGTCCACAAAATCACCTAGATTACAACAATGCATCCTCCTAATTGGTCCACAACAGTATATTGATTCGCCATGCAAATTTTTTACAGGGAAGGTATTATCAAATTGTCCAGATGATATTTTCTGTCAAAAACATGGAGAAACACATAACCAATCTGAGGATATATATTCACAAAATAATAATCAAAATAATGGCTAGCAAGGTTACCTGCTCAATAGCTTCTTCAGTGAAAGGATGCCAGTACCTCATTCCAACATACACTTTTGCAGGGACATTTTTTGCAGAGAGGGCCTTTCTCAGCTCTTCAGCCTAAAGCACATAAAAGGACATTACAATTTATTATGTAAAACATGCATCGACTCCTAAAAAAAATCAAAACAAAATTTTCAGAACAATAGTAAATCATGCCCACCACTGTTAAAAAAAAGAAAGGAAAAAAGGATCCAAACAATAACATCTAAAAGACAAATTACTCCACAAACAAAAGATAGACCAGAATGAACACCTTGTTTGCTGGAACACAGCTACCGAAGGAGAAGAGAAGAAGAAGAAGAAGAGAAAGTTTTGAGAATGGCGGCAATAACCTCTCAGCTGACCCTACTCTATTATAAATAAGTGTATTACATTATGTTACATGAGTTGACTAGACTGCCCCTGATTAGTGATGGGACACCTAGACAAATAAAACACTAAATAAGATTAGGCCCAATAACTAATGACTTAAGACACAACAAAGATAAGCATACATATTAAGACAATCAAACCAACACTCCCCCTCAAGCTAAGCATAGATGTCAATCATGTTTAGCTTGCCAAGTAAGTCCAAGAATTTTACTGAGGCTAGCCCTTTTGTTAGAACATCTGCGATCTGCATCTCGGAGGGAGTATAAGGAATGCAGAGTTCTCCTGAGACTATTCTTTCTCTGACAAAGTGTCGGTCAATCTCAATATGTTTCGTTCTATCATGTTGCACTGGGTTATTTGCAATGTTGATGGCTGCCTTGTTGTCACAGTACAACCTAGGAGGGAACTCGATCTTTATTCCAAGTTCACCAAGAAGGATCTTAAGCCACAGAAGTTCAACAACACCATGAGCCATAGCTTGATATTCAACTCTGCACTTAATCTTGCAACCACATTTTGTTTTTTACTCCTCCATGTAACTAGATTTCCTCCAACAAAGGTGCGGTACCCGGAAGTGGACTTCCTGTCCCCAACAGAACCAGCCCAATCTGCATCAGTATATGCTTCAACTTCAATTTTATTGTGTTTTCTGAACAGAATTCCTTTCCCCGGGCAAGTCTTCAAATATCTGAGAATCCTTTCCACAGCTCTCATGTAAGGGATTTTAGGAGAGTGCATGAACTAACTAACTACATGTACAGCATAAGCAATATCTGGGCGAGTGAGAGACAGATAAATCAACTTCCCCACCAGCTTTTGGTATCTCTCTTTATCAATGTAGTCCTCTCCTACCGATTCCTGTAGACCATGGTTCTGCTCTATTGGAGTATCTACTGGCCTACACCCCATCATACCTGTCTCTTCTAGAAGATTAAGGACATATTTCCGCTGACATATATAGATGCCATCTTTTGACCTAGCCACTTCAATCCCAAGGAAGTATCTCAGCTGACCCAGGTCTTTGATCTCAAATTCAGCAGCCAAGAACTCCTTTAGTCTTTTTATCTCTTCCTGATCATCCCCTGTAATCACCATATCATCAACATAGACAATAAGTGTTGTAAGTTTTAAATTTTTCTTCCTTATGAACAAGGTATGATCTGCCCCACTTTGAGTGTAACGCCCTTTCTTCATGGCCCCACAAAGCTTCTCAAACCAAGCTCGAAGAGACAGCTTAAGACCATAAAATGCTTTTCTCAGTCTACACACCTTCCTGCCAAACTCATAACCTGGTGGAGGATCCATGAATACCTCTTCATGTAGGTCGCCATTTAGGAAAGCATTCTTCACATCCAACTGATGCAGCTCCCATGAGAAGTTTGCAGCTAATGACAATAGAACTCGGATTGTATTGAATTTTGCTACTGGAGCAAAGGTTTTTTTGTAGTCAATCCCTTCTTTTTGAGTAAACCCCTTTGCCACAAGTCTGGCCTTGTACCTTTCAATGGACCCGTCCTCCCTATGCTTTACAGTGAACACCCACTTGCATCCAACAGTGCTTTTCCCTTCTGGTAGATCCACTAATTCCCAAGTCCTTGCTTTCATTAAGGCTTTCATTTCATCGTTCATAGCTTCTTTCCATCTTGGGTCAGACACTGCCTCTGAATACCTAGTAGGGGCATGCACAGAAGAAAGAGAAAACACAAAGGAACAATAACGAGGAGACAAATGTGAGTAAGACACAAAATCAACAATGGGGTGTCGGATAGTACAAGAACGGGTAGGCTTACGAAGGGCAATAGGGAGATCCAAATCAGAGGGAAGAGTGATAAGATTACCTAGAGTTGCTGAGACAGGTTGATCCAAGTCCAATTGGTTGTTGTCATGAGTTAGAGGGCCCTTTTTCCTTCTGTTGTAGGTGATTCTTATATCGTTTTGTTGCCTACTGGAGTCTTCAGTAACATCTGCAACATCACGAGTGGTAGCTAGTACAATGGGAGCCTCACTAGATTCACCCGGGATACTACAACTAGGAGGATTAGGAGGAGAAGATGGAAGGTCCGAGGCAGAAAGAGGCACAAAAAGGAGGGAACAGAAGAATCCTCTTCCATCCCGCTAGTCTCCCCCTAAAGAGAATTCTGGGAAGAGTGAAAATAGGATTGAGACTCAAAAAACACCACATCCATTGTGACATATTTTTTCTTGGTGACTGGATCATAACACTTGTAACCCTTCTGTGTAGGAGAGTACCCCAAAAAGATTCCTTTGGTAGCCTTAGGATCCAGCTTGGTCTTCTTTGGATCCTTTACATGTATAAAACATACACAACCAAAGACCCTCTGTGGAAGAGAAAAGTCTGGGAGATGAGGACGAAGGACAGAGAAAGGAGTTTTCATACCCAATACCTTGGATGGCATTCGATTTATCAGATATGGTGCAGAAAGGACTGCTTGAGACCGGTAGTGTTTGGGAACCTTGTGCTGAAATAGTAAGGCTCGAGCAGTCTCCAATAGGTGTCTATTCTTGCGCTCAGCAACCCCATTCTGTTGGGGGGTACTAGCACAAGATGACTAATGTATCACTCYAGYATCCTCCATAAACAGGTTCAAGGATCTTTCAAARTATTCAGCAGCATTGTCTGACCTGAATT